TTTTTATAGAAATGGTTCCATAGTGCACTGTCCTGTGATTTGCTTTTTTTCCCATTTAACAATATTATGTTGAATACATATTATTACTTCAAAAACTAGTAGTCGTATAGTTTAAATTTCCAGAACAAGGCTGGGCATGGTGGCTCAAGCCTGTAATCCCAGCACTTTCGGAGGCCGAGGCGGGTGGATAACAAGGTCAAGAGATCGAGACCATCCTGGTCAACATGGTGAAACCCTGTCTCTACTAAAAATACAAAAAAATTAGCTGGGCATGGTGGCACATGCCTTGTAATCCCAGCTACTCAGGAGGCTGAGGCAGGAGAATTGCCTGAACCCAGGAGGCAGAGGTTGCGGTGAGCCGAGATCGCACCATTGTACTCCAGCCTGGGTAACAAGAGCAAAACTCCATCTCAAAAAAAAAAAAAAAATTTCCAGAACAAAAACTATTGGGTCAAAATGCGTGTACATTTGTAAATTGGATATCGTAAAACTGTCCTTCACAGACGTTACACCTGTGAACATCAGTGTATGGAAGTGCCTATTTCCACACACATTCTCTTGCTCAGTGTGTTGTCAAATTTTTGGATTATTGCATAATTGATAGGTTAAAATAAAAGTCAGTTCATGATAGTTTTAATTAGGATTTCTTTTATGAGTGAGGCTATCTTTCCATATGCTAAAGAGCCATCTTTATTTCCTCTTCCAGGAAAGTTCATTCGTGGGACATTAATTTAAAATTTAAGTATTAACATTGTATTGATTTTGGAACTTTTCACACTTTAGGAAACTTAGTCTTTTTTGAGACCGAGTCTTGCTCTTGTCGCCCAGGCTGGAGTGCAGTGGTGCGATTTCGGCTCACTGCAATCTTCGCCTTCCAGGTTCAAGCAATTCTCCTGCCTCAGCCTCCAGAGTAGCTGGGACTACAGGCACGTGCCACCACGCCCACCTAATTTTGTGTTTTTAGTAGAGTTGGGGTTTCACCCATATTTGACAGGCTGATCTTGAACTCCTGACCTCATGATCCACCCTCCTTGGCCTCCCAAAGTGCTGGGATTACAGGCGTGAGCTACCTTCCCTGGACTAATTAGATATATTTTGTATCTTCTCAATTATCTCCAATAATACCTCGTTGTACTTTCTTTTTTTTATTCTTTTTGTTCCTTTCCAGGTAAATTCTTCTTCTTCTTCTTTCTTCCACCCCCACTTTTTTTTTTTGGGGGGACAGAGTTTCACTCTTGTCACCCAGGCTGGAGTACAGTGGTGTGATCTCAGCTTACTGCAACCTCCACCTCCTGGGTTTAAGTGATTCTCCTGCCTCCACCTCCCAAGTAGCTGGGATTACAGGTGCCAGCCACCATGCTCAGGTAATTTTTGTATTTTTAGCAGAGATGGGTTTTCATCATGTTGGCCAGACTGGTCTCAAACTCCTGACCTCAGGTGATCCACCCACCTCGGCCTCCCAAAGTGCTGGGATTAATTGTGGGTGAGTTCTTGATACTGTTTTCTAATCCTGTCTTCATACCATCTACTGAGTTTTTAATTTAAGTAATTACACATTTCGTGTACAAGGTAATTATTTTTTCTTGTATTTATATGGTCTTGTTTCATTAATGCATAATTATTTCTCATAAAAAATTTAAATAAATGCTTTGCTTTAATTATCTTTTTGAGACTATTTTAGGAGATTTATCAAAATCCTCCATAAAAAAAATTTCGTCTGGAGTTAGTTCATGTCCCAGTTTTTTCTTTTATTAATTTTATGCCATCTGTCTTACCATTAGATTTGTTTAGGTGTTAGAATTTTAGTTTGTGTGCTCATTTCGTTTTGGAGGATATAAAATTGCTTTTTCTTCCTTTCCTTCGTCTTCCTGCATACCTCCTAAATATCTAACAGGGTCTTCTCGTCTTCCTTGGGTTCCCCTCCATTCTTGCTATTTGGGACCCTTGAAGAGCAAGTGTGGTCTAGAAGAAAATCTCAGTAATGTGGCTTGTCTGTTTAGCCCCATCTGTGGAAGAAAAATTATCCCTAAGACATTCATAACCATAGATTTGACTTCACTTGCGTTTGGAGCTTGAATTATATAATACTTGTATGGGCTGGAAGCATCCATGTTGAGAAATTAACACTAAAATTAACATTAAGGGGTGGTAATACTCCTAGGATTTTTAGAAGTAAATATTAGACACTCTGGAGGGATAAATGTTGGATTTTTTCACTAAAGCACTGGTGAAAATGAACTTACAATTGAATATTTAAAAACAGAATCCACTGTGAGAGATAGCAAATACAATAAATGCTGATTAGATCATGAAGAACTTAAATAATATAATTATCTTAGGAAGACCATAATATTGTATATTTAAAATTATATAATTCAGAAATCCAAACATAAGAAAAACATAGTCCCTCAGTAAAGAGCAGGAAGATTGTCTTAGCCTGTTTGGGCTCCTCTAGATGAGTTAACAAAAATATCAGAAATACACTTCTAGTTCTAGAGCAGGCATCCCCAAACTACGGCCCGTGGGCCTCATGCAGCCCCCTGAGGCCATTTATCCGGCCCCCCCGCCGCACTTCAGGAAGGGGCACCTCTTTCATTGGTGGTCAGTGAGAGGAACACAGTATGTGGCGGCCCTCCAACGGCCTGAGGGACAGTGAACTGGCCCCCTGTGTGAAAAGTTTGGGGACGCCTGTTCTAGAGGCTAGGAAGTCCAAGATCAAGGTGCCAGAAGATTTGGTGTCTGGTAAGGGCTAGCTTTCGGCTCCATACACAGCACGTGGAAGGAGCAAACAAGCTTCCTTGGGCCTCTTCTATAAGGGCACTAATCCCACTCATGGCCTGATCACCTCCTAAAGGCTTCACCCGTCAGTACTATCACACTGAGGATTAGGCTTCAACACACGAATGGGAACAGGGGAACACAGATTCAGACCATAGCAAAATTTATTTTTATTTTTTCTGTTGACACCTGGCACTTTATTAGTGGGGAAACTCACCTTGGTCTGGCAGAGAGACTGGGAAATGAAACAATTACCAAGCAGCAACAATGAAAAGATATTTATACCTAGACACAGCATAGTTTAAATAGTAGAGGAACAAAGACAAAGGAAGGATCTGTGTAAAGTACATATCTCAGGAATGGTAACAGTGTGAGCTGCACTTACTGGGCCACCCAAATTTATGGTCTCCAGTTTTAGTGGGGTTCTCCGTGATGACTGACAATCCTAAGCTTGGTCTGCTTCCTTCCCAGTGTAATGGAATCAGCAATCCCAAACCCTCATCCCTCACCTCACTCCCATTCACCATACTCTCATCGTGGGACTGTGCCTCCTTCTTCACAGAGATAGTACGTGGTCTGCAGAAGGAATCGTCTCAGTTTTCTGGCTCCATAACTTCTCTGTATCTATGAGTCCTCTCCTTTTCTCTCCCTATCTTCCTTTTCCTAGGAAAAACTGTCCCTCTTCCTGCTTAAAGCCGGTGCTTCACATGTGCTCTAAAACGCAGACTCTTTTCAGTGATCTGGCTCCTGTTGGTTATTCCACCTTCTCCTGTTTTCCATATCTACTACCTCCTTTCCCTCAGCATATAAGTATGCCCAAATCTCTCCCATTAAAAACCACCACCACCAAAAACCATTGCCCCATGTTCTCTAAATAACAACATTCCTTTAAGAGCCAAGCTCTCTGAAAGAGGAGTTTAAACTCATTGTCACTGCCTTTTTGTTTTTGAGATGAGGGTCTTGCTCTGTTGCCCCGGCTAGAGTGCATGGCATGATCCTAGCTCACTACAACTGCAAACTGGGCTCAAGCAATCCTCCTGCATCAGCCTCCTGAGTAGCTCTCCCAGCACTTTGGGAGGCTGAAGTGGGAGGATTGTTTGTACCCAGGAGTTTATGACCAGCCTGGGCAACATAGTGAAACCTCCTATCTGCTAAAAATCAAAATAAAAAGCCAGGCATGGTGGCACTCGCCTGTAGTTTCCTGCTGTCACCACTTTCTTAACCTCCTATTGCTTTCTTGGCCCACTGTACGTTGGCTCCTGCTGCGTGGCACTTCTCTGGAATATTCTCTCAAAAGTCATCTATTACCTTGAAATTGCCAAGTCAGATAATCATTTCTCAGTCCTTATCTTATTTGGCTACTCCTTTGGCTTCCATGATACACACCTGCTTGGCTCTTGCCAGCTGTTTCTCAGTCTCCTCCACTTGCCACTTAAAGAGTCTCGCCGTCTCCCAGGCTGGAGTGCGTGGTGAAATCTTGGTTCACTGCAACCTCTGCCTCCTGGGTTCAAGTGATTCTACTGCTTCAGGCTCCCGAGTAATTGGGACTACAGGTGTGCGCCACCATGCCTGGCTACTTTTTTGTATTTTTAGTAGAGACAGGGTTTGGCCATGTTGGCCAGGGTGGTCTTGAACTCCTAAACTCACACTTGCTACTTAAATATTAGGTTGGTGCAGAATCTTTTCTTGATCTCCTATTCCCTTTCCTTTCTAAAAATACCAATTTGCAGTCTTAGACATAATTTTAATTCCTGGTTCTATGAATTAGCAGCCGTGAGACCTTCAACACATTTTTTAACCTCTTTGAGCCTCAGCTTCTTTATTCACAATTTGATGATGATAATGTCTACCTCAAAATGTTGTAAGTATTACATGAAATACAGTATAAGTACCCTAGGACAGTGACAGACATATAGTAAGGGCTTGATGCATGGCAATTGTTTTTTTTTTTTTTTCTTTTTTTTTTTTTGATACTCTCTCCCTCTCTTAAACATTAGATGATGGATGTTAATAAGTATAATAAAGGGTGTTTAACACAAGTGCAACTAAACAGAAGACTAATTCTCTCGACATTAGTTGTTTATCATGCTTAGAAAAACCTGGCTGAAAATGCAACTTTTATATTGCTCAGTTGGGGATGGAGTGAAAAGAAAAACAAGTTTTACATGCATTCTTCAGTGCTTTCATATCATGACGCTGATTTTTACTGCTTATTATTTCAGAAATTTTGAAGAATCTGAAGAGGAACTGAGAGATGAAGTAGTAGAATCCTTAGAAAAACTCGCTACGTTCAAAGGGGAAGAGAAAACAGATGACGCCTCCAGTGCCTCTCAGGATTCTGGAAAGTCAAGAGAAAAAGACGGGATAGGTGTGCAGAAACCTGAAGAATTAAGTGAAGGCTTGGAGACTATTTCTACTCTATCTAATGACCACATTTGTATTACTGACGAAGACCAAGGAACATCAACAACCAGTCAAAATGTACAAGTGTGATTATTGTACTTTTTCTTAATAAGTTAGTATCTGTTACCTGTAGTATTTGTTTGGGTACAAGTCATAAATGCTCATTTACTGTAAGGGTTTTCTAGTAATCGCAAGGATGTATTAATTTTTCTTTCAATTTAGAAAGAACTAACTTTTGAGTGTAGACATTAATATTTTTAAAGTTTCGATTAAGAAACTTTCAGCTAACACGTGGTAGGCAGAGTAATGTGGCTCAACACCCCCCTCCAAAACGTGTTCCGTCCTAATCCCCACAGTTTGTGAATATGGCAAAGGAGAATTAAAGTTGCAGGTGAAATTGTTTGCTCATCAGCTGACCTTAAAATAGGGAGGTTATCTTGGCTTATCCACGTGAGTGCAGTGTAATCACAAGGGTCCTTACGAGTGGAAGAGGAAGGCAAAAGAGAAAAGCAGAGGGATGGCAGCATGAAAAGGACTCAGCCTGATGTTGCTGGCCTTGAAGGTGGAGGACAAGGCCACAGACTAAGATTCAGACAGCCTCTGGAATCTGGGAAAGGCAAAGAAATGGATTCTTCCCTAGAGCCTCCAGAAGGAACACAGCCCTGCCAACGCCTCGATTTTAGCCTGGTGAGATCCACTTCAGATTTCTGACCTGCAGAACTGTAAGATAATAAATTTATGTTAACTAAGTTTGTGATAATTTGTTAGGACAGCAGTATGAAACAAACACAATATACAGATTCATTCATTTAACGTAATGAATCTGCCATTTTATAAAACTGATTTTGAAATTTCTTGTTACATCGAATATACTTTTTCAAAGCTGACGTTGACACAGGAATAAGGCAATTGAGCAAGAACAAGGCATGGTGTGTTAATTATGCACTAAATGACCATTTTGTTTTATTGGATTAGTTTCCAGTAGTTTCAAGTGTATAGGTTGAGGGCAGGGACTATATCTGGTCTTTATATCTTATAATGGTCTCTGTATATAAATACAGCTATTAGCATAGTCAGAAATGTTTCTTGAATTAGTAAATGGCAAAACATTTCTTTATTAAGACTGTAAGCTGTTTGGTGTAGGAAACTAGACTTAAACTTTTTAAAATTGATCATAACAATTCCAGTGTTGAACATGTGCCTGGAGCTTACCAGATGTTTATTTAAACACTAATGAGTGTGTCTGGGCTTAGGAAGGAGAAAATGGTTGTATTTCAACGTGGTAGAATTCTGCCTGAAATATCTGCTCTATAATAAAAGTCAAATGTCTCATTGATGCATTGTTAAGCTGAGAAAATGAAGATGAGGTGAGGTTCATCAGATGATTTCTAAGGTCTGTTTACTATTTACATTTCATATAATTTTCATTAAATGTGGAGAATGCAAGTCATTTGAGTCACCTGAGATATGTCCAGTTTGGAGTATCGTTAGTGGAGTACCTGCAGCTCTTTCAGTGCTCAGTGTGTATACGTGTTTATTTACTTTCAGGACTAGTTCATAGGAAAACTGTTAGTGACTTCATTTAATCCTTATTCTGAACAGTATTTGAAAGCAAGGGAAATGAAACATGATTCCTAAAAACCCCAAAGATCAAGTCAACTAAAGGAAAAAAAAGAATGTTTAAAGATGATAAATGAACAGGCCAGTGCGGTGGCTCAAAGTGGTAATCCCAACACTTTGAGAGGCTGAGGCAGGAGGACTGCTTGAGACCAGGAGTTTGAGATCAGCTTAGGCAACAGAGAAACACCCACCTCTACCCCCGACATCCAAAAAGAAAAAATTAGCTGGTGTGATGGTGTGCAACTGTGGTCCCAGCTATTCGGGAGGCTGAGGTGGGAGGATCACTTCAGCTTCAGCCTGGGAGGTTGAGGCTACAGTGAGCCATAATCCGTGATCACATCACTGCACTCCAGCTTGAGTGACAGTAAGACCCTGTCTCAAAAAAAAAAAAAAAAAAAAAGCTTATCAGGTTATTGGTTTGTTCCATGACAAGATGCTTGGCTAAAGTATTTTAGGTAATAGTCACCAAGCTTTACTCAACAATTTTGAATTATTTGCTGTAAACTGGAAGTATTCACTGTGATATGTATATATAACATTTCAACTGGTTTTAGTCCCTAATTCTAGACCTTACCCATTTTACAAACACTATTAGCTAAATTATGTTCCTGAGGCATGGCTCTGATTACTTTGCTCTGGCTTTAGCCTTGGCCTCATGTGTTAAATTGAAACTTCATCAGAGCTGTATGCATTACAAAATTTTTTATTAGAAAAATCAGCCTCTTGCTATTGATGTATGATAGTATCAAAGTGATCATTCTGTAAATGGTAGCAGTTAAGTGTATCAACACTTCAACCTCCTCTGCATCTAGTAACATTTGCATATAGTCCAAGTGAGCACAGAGCAAGAATATTGAAACAGATGCTTCTCCAAAGCCAAGGGTGGCCTTACATTTAGGGTGGGAAAAGAGGCAAATGAGTTAGCAGAGGAGCAGCAGGAGATGGGGGGTAAGTTGCAGGACATAATTTGCTTCTAAAAATTTGTGTAACATGTTGTAGTTATATAATAAACTTTTCTATTGTACTAATTGACAGATTTGGCACAGACATACTCTGATTTATTGTGAATATATCAGAGTTCTGGAGTCTGGGGTATATTTACATAAACACAAATATTCTGAAAACATCAATAATCATACTGATCTCTATCTCATAATTTTGCCTTTATAAAATTCCTCAAAAATGATTTAAATCAAGTATATGAAGCTCTGTAGTTTTTTGTATGTCTGAAATACTCATTAAAAGTTTATTAAGCCTGGGCTGGGCGCGGTGGCTCAAGCCTGTAATCCCAGCACATTGGGAGGCCGAGGCGGGTGGATCACAAGGTCGAGAGATCGAGACCATCCTGGTCAACATGGTGAAACCCCGTCTCTACTAAAAAATACAAAAAATTAGCTGGGCATGGTGGCGCGTGCCTGTAATCCCAGCTACTCAGGAGGCTGAGGCAGGAGAACTGCCTGAACCCAGGAGGCGGAGGTTGCGGTGAGCCGAGACCGCGCCATTGCACTCCAGCCTGGGTAACAAGAGCGAAACTTCATCTCAAAAAAAAAAAGTTTATTAAGCCTGACAACCTATTCTTAATGTTTCCATAAGCAAGACAAACTTTTATTTTTCTTTCTTCTTTTATTGGCATATGGAGCTTGGGAATATTAGTGGGAGAACAAGATGACCATGTGAGGCATACAAAAGGCACCATGCTGGTAAGAATACAAGGGAATGAAAAGTCACTTATTTAAATCATATTTAGACACAGACTTTGTACCTCTTAGATGTAAATCATGTCTAAATACAAATCTAAATCATATTTACAAATAATTATGACACAAAGTCTATGTAACACACACTTTATAGTACACAACTGTAAATAAGAATACAAATCTCCACTGCTGTGGGTTCAAAACACAGCAGGCTTGGACCACTCAAAAATGACATTTGAGAGAAATTAAGTCATCCTGAAGTTCTGCAGACAGATACTAGCAGACATATCACTTTGACACTTTTCATGCTGTCATTCAGAAAAAAATAGAATACATGTAATACCACATTAGGAACACTGATAATGAATATATATGCAAATTATATCTTCAAACGATTTATCTGTGATATATGAAAATCATTTAGAAGATGTAAGCTTAAAATATATTTTATGGAATTCTGGAAAACTTTTTCTTCACTACATCCTCTCCTTTTGCTCTGGGCATTTCCATTTATTTATCTTTGGTCCCATAATTTTCTCTGTGTAGATAAGTAGGCTGAGTGGGTAACAGTATGAATTCTACTTCAAAGTGTGGCTACAAAGTCAGAAAAAGCACTGGGCCAGGAGTCAGAATATCCAGGTTATAATTTTGATTCTTTCATTAAACAGCTTTGTGTCACTGAAGGAGTCTGCTAAATTCTTTAGATTTAAATTGTTCTTGTCTGTAAAGCTGAAAATAAGAGAGAACTGGGCTAGAAAATCTGTAGGGTTCCTTTCATTCCAATTTCTACCAGTCTTTTTCTAAATGGCATCATCTCTAACACAAAGTTACAATGGTGTGTCAGAACCTCCTGTGACTGACCCTCTGTTTTGCTACTTTTTGATCCGATGACAGATGGCCTGCAGATATATCAACAACCTAATTGGGAGTAGATAAGCTGGCCAGATTGGTGAATGACTGAGAAGAGACTGCAAAAGAATAATATATCCTTTCATTTGCCCCTTAGCACAAAGATGAATCAGGCTATGGAAGGGGTCAAGTCTCTGTACTAGAAAGGATTGATTATATAGGCAGAAAATGCAGAAGTTTTAGGTCTTTATAGCCATGTCTGCCCACATATGTATTCACTTTTCCATGCTAGTTTTTCAGGATAGAAGTTGCATTAAATTTAGGCCAGGCGCGGTGGCTCAAGCCTGTAATCCCAGCACTTTGGGAGGCTGAGGCGGGTGGATCACAAGGTCAGGAGATCGAGACCATCCTGGTCAACATGGTGAAACCCCGTCTCTACTAAAAATACAAAAAAATCAGCTGGGCATGGTGGTGCGTGCCTGTAATCCCAGCTACTCAGGAGGCTGAGGCAGGAGAATTGCCTGAACCCAGGAGGCGGAGGTTGCGGTGAGCCGAGATCGCGCCATTGCACTCCAACCTGGGTAACAAGAGCGAAACTCCGTCTCAAAAAAAAAAAAAAAAAAAAAAAAGGTTGCATTAAATTTATACCAATTCCTTTCAACACTTCCTTTTATTCTAAAAGGAAATTTTCTTTCCTGTTTTCTAAAGTAAAGTGATTTGACAAATGAGATTGAATTTAGAAAAATATTTACATGTGAAGGTTTTTAACCATTTTATATAAAATATCTTTAATTTTATAGATATGGCATTACTTAAGTAACTTTTCCACAGATGATAGAAATGCCACTTCAAATTCCTGATCAGAGAATCTGCTTACAGATGCACGGGCACTTTTTCTGATTTGGAGTCTCTTTTCTGCAGACATGGAAAGAATGTGAGCCATAGTTTCAGCATAGCCTTCTTCACTCTCAGCCAGAAAGCCAGTTATATCTCCTTCGTGAGGAACAACAATGTCAAGCTTCGGGCCCCCTGAATTGTGTGCAAGGATAATTGTGCCAGCTGCCATACACTCCACAACTCCTGAAAAAGAAACAAAAATCATGTAGTCTTTTAAATTTTTGAGTATGTTCATAAGAATGAGGATGAGTACAAATCTTCAAAAATTTTAAGGGACTTATGAGAAAATTAAATATATGTCTAGACATTTGCTTATTTAACTTCTATAATACAAAATAAAATAATTTTAAGTATTTTAGTTTTCAAAGCTTCATAATAATGCTGCTTCATTCTTTTTTCTTTTGTAGAGCTAGGGTCTCAATATGTTGCCCAGGCTGGCCTCTAACTCCTAGCCTCAAGTGATCCTCCCATCTTGGTCTCCCAAAGTGCTGGGATTTACCAGCATGAGCTACCACGCCTAGCCTGCTGCCTCATTCTTAATTAAAATAGACAAGTAGATGGAAGACTAGCCTATTAAAAAACAGATATATTGCAGATAATTAAAAAAGACTAGAGAATGTTACCAAGATGGTAGAATATTAACAGGTATTAGAAAAACAAAAGGAGTAAAAAGATACCAAAAACAAAATTTTAGTAGTTCAAATTACATTATTAGCAGAAAAAATAAAAAATGTAAATCACCTAAGTGAAGGATACTATTACGGTGCTTATGTTACTGCCTGGGCTTCTGGCATATTTGAGACTACTGGTGTGCCCAACAGCAGTGTTGAACTAAATGGAAGCTGTGGTTAGTTTCTGCTAAATGATACACATGAAATATAAATTACTCTAGCCAGCGTTTCTTAGCTGTATTCTTAAAAGAGAATTAAGCTCTTCAGAGAATGATTTAAGTGAGTGCTTTCCCAATTTTCTGAAGGATGGTAGAGTTGATATCATCCTGGATGTATAGGAGAGAAATGAAATAATTCTAAATGTTTTTAAAACAGTGGTGAAATCCCTGTAGAACAGATTTCAGTAGCTCATACCATATTCTGCTTGAGGCTGGAGAGCATCCTGTACTTTCTCAGAGACCTGCATCTAATCAATGTTACCCTCTCCCTCTCTACTGGCTCCTTCCTATCAGCATTAAAGCGAGGGCGCCACATGTCCTTCCTCAGGTCCTACAACACCCCTAGCCATTGTCTCTTCTCCCCTGCTGCACTTCACAAACTTACTGAAAGTGTGGTTTGCACTTACCAACTCTACTTGTTCACTTCTGAGTGCTTAACTTTTAATTTTTGCTTACTGTCTGACTTTTGCTTCTAGTTCTCCCTTAAGACTGCTCTTACCCAGGTCACCAGTGACTGCCTTACCTTCCCCAGCATCTGGGCAGCATCAGTTGGAATCTGTGCCCTCTCTCTGCTTCTCAACACACTCTCTTCCTTGGTTTCCAAGACACTGCACTTGGCTGGCTTTCCTCCTTTCTCCATTTCTTCTCTCCATTTCTCAGCTGTTCCTGTTCTCTGCATTTTGTACTGAGAGCCTCTTCTCGCTTTGCACACATTCCCCAGGCTATCTTATCCACATCCATGGGAGCTTTGATAACTACCTTGTACAAGGACAATCCTCCATTTATATTTCCAGAACTGATTCCTCTCCTCAACTTCAGACTCCTATATACAACTACCTCCTGGACACATGCCCTCACATGTCCCACAGATGAACTCAAACTCTGCAGGTTCAAAACTTGGCTCATCAATGGCATTTGCTCTTGGATTTCCCCTCTGGGAGAAAGCCAACACCATTCTCATAGCCGTCCAGCTCCCAAAACTCTAGGTGGTCTTCTCTTCCTCCCTCATTTAACACATCCAATTAATCACCAAGTTTTGGTCAATACTACAGCAGAATCTCTCTCAAGCATGTTCACCTACCAAGTTCAGCTCACTAGCACCTCCGCCAGGGCTGCTACAGCAGGCCAGTTCATGTTACTGCCTTTCCAGTCTTGCTCTCCCTGCTCCTTACTGATCTACTCCCCATGTAGCCAGAATGGACGGGAGGAATCACAAAGCTTTTACATGCAACACTTAAAATCCTGACATTCTTTTCTGCTGGCTTAACCTGGCCCAGATCACCTCTCTGTTGTTTCCCTGCTGAGGGTTCCTATTGATGTATCTGTTGTCACTCCTGTCACAGTGCTATTTCCTCTACTGGAGACTCTCCCCTCTCCTAATCATTAGTTAACCTCTAATTATTGTTCGGGTCTTGCTCAAGTGTCACATCACTTCCTTGGGCAACTGTTCCCTGCCCCCTTAGGTGTTTCTCTTTGGCACTCTCACATCACCCTGCACTTCCTTAGCACAGCACCTGGTACAGGGCATGACATAGAACTTGCCTGTGTAGCCTTTTGGTACCATCAGAGGGCGGGAAGCCTCTGACAGGCTAAGCAAGTCTGGTCTCCACCACATCCCTGGTATCCACCCAAGTCCCTAGCACAGAATGAATGCTTAGTTAGTTTCTATGGAAGGAAGCACAGGAGGTCAGATCCCATGCAAAAGGTTGGGTCAACAAGTTCTTGCTGAATGTCTGGGTCTAGTACTATACTACTAACTAGGAGTGAAAAAAAAGTATAAGAGATATTGTAGTCTTAGTTTAGGAAACGTCACTTTTATGTTATCCTCATTTTCCCTAACAACTAACAGTGTGAGGCACAAAGCACTTGAGAAACATACGCAGACCCACATCAAACACAAAGCAGTACTTGATTTTATAGCGCGCTTAAAAGGTCAGAATAGAGATAGCAGTTTGTGCCGGAATAAACAAGGCTAAAAGGCAAGGAGATTGAAGTTGAAGACTTATGATGGGATCTGGCACAAAGAAGGCCATTCCAATGGTGACGGTAGAATCAATAAAAGCCTAAAAGAATTACTGTGAGAAGCCCCTATGCAAACAGTGGTTTTCAACTTTTGATGCATAACAGAATCACTTAAGCAGCATTATCGAAATACATCTACCTAGGCCTGGTCCAGAGATTTTCATCTGGCCACTCAGTAGGATTAGGGTAGGGCCTGGCAATCTGTACCACTAAGTATGTAGTGGGGTTAGATGCGGAGAGAAAGTGTTGCCGTTAAGAGAAGGGGCTATCCGGGTTAGAATCCAGGCTCTACCCACTTAATTACTGTGTAGCTGAACTTGAGCAATTTCTAAACCTTCCTGTGCCTGAGTTTCCTTATTTATAAAATGAGAATAACAATAACACCTATCAAATAGAGTTACAGAGGGGCTTGAATTAGATAATATGTGTAAAAATCTCAACAGTGGCCCGCACACAGGAATTGGTCAATAAATACTAGTTGCCATTATTAAGTACAATCTTACAAGGTCTCAAATGAGGAGAATATATTTGGTGGATTAGGGGAGGAGAATGAGGGCACGAGGCAGACTTCTAGAGTATTATCATTTTATCAAAGGAACCTAAAGTGTGTATCTCATGGCACCGAACAAGTTGTTTAAAGGCCAAACTCACCAATCCCAAAATGCTCGTTCCACATGGTATGCAGACCAATTGTTGCTTCTGACAAAGAATTCTTTAATTCATCAAATGGAATGTTTATTTTAAATTCCACATTTTCTTGAACTCCTAAATCCTCAGATAGCCTTCTCAGTTGGTTTACCCTAAGTTCATCATCTTTGTTACGACAACCTCCAATAAGGACAAGTTTAAGAGGAGATGACTCAACCATCTTCTTCTTCAGCAATTTAGCAAAGGCTCTGATCTGCAATGGATGATTCTTTTCCGGCCTAAACTGGCCAACAGAAACCAGCACATGGCCTGGGGTTGTCTTTTTCTCATGTAAGGGAATGTCCAGAAATGTCTGCACATCGCAAGGTGGATAAACAACGTTAGTGCAATTCCCAACTTTCCACAGTGAGAGAATATGGTTTAGTGTCCAAGAAGAATTGACCATGACTACGTCACTGCAAGAACCAACAAGTCCGTAAATAAAAGCAAATAAATAGTAGTAAATGAGCTTTACTTTGCTGAGAAAAGGATTCCTGGTAATGAAGGCTGCATTATTAAGTCCAACATTTTGATTCTTCACTATAGAGAGCATGTCAGTGCTGATAGTAGGATAATGAACATAGCTTCCAACTTGGCAACCCCCTATATACTTAAACAGAGGAAGTGTAAAAGCGTATCCCATGGAATCGATGTAAACATCAGGAACACATTGCATTAGAGCTTCCCAGCCGAGAAAAACAGATCCTAGACTTTGGCCCAGCAGTGTGAAGTGAGGATAGAGTGAATCTTCCACAAGATAGCGTTTCCTTAAAAAAACAAACTGGACTGGGAGAATTAATCTGATGTTAAATCTTCTGAAAGCACCTTCTAGTATCTGTTGACCGCTGACATTAACATCGCCGGTATAAACAACATAAACGGCTTCAGGATACCTAAAATAGAATGTAGTGGTTAAGAATGTATTAGGTCACAAAAATTAGCTGGACAGGGTGGTGGGCACCTGTGATTTTTGCTACTCAGGAGGCTGAGGCAGGAGAATTGCTTGAACCCAGGAGGCGGGGGTTGTGGTGAACTGACATTGTACCACTTGGACTGCAGCCTGGGCAACAAGAGCAAAACTTCATCTCAAAAAAAAAAAAAAAAAGTATTAGGTTAAAATCAAGCAAAAAGTTGTAGATAACTGTTTTCTTACAATCATAAAGAAGCTTATTTTTATACTAAAAATGATGTTTTCTATGTTTTTTATTTACTGAATTAGAACTACAGTCCCTCAAATGAGACTGTGACTTCTAGTTCTTTGCTATTTCCTCCACTTAGAGTTTCACATAGAACAGGCATCAACAAACACTGTTGATTTATGAATGAGATGTTCTCAAGAAATACTCAAAAACTTTCACAGTGGTCTTAGTAAAAAATGGTAATAAAATACCATCAACAAACATGTCTTCTGATAGGCTCACAATGCTAAAGTAATGCTCAGGGTTTTTATCTGAAAAATGCAAAAAGGCTTTAAAAGCTAGATCTTGTGCCTGTATCACAACTAATTAGTCTGAAAATATCTAAAAGTATGTATTCTTATGACTTGTAATGCTTTGGTCTCCCCTGACTATGTTATTCCTTTTTTTTTTTTTTTTTTTTTTTTTTTTTTGAGACGGAGTTTCGCTCTTGTTACCCAGGCTGGAGTGCAATGGCACGCTCTCGGCTCACCGCAACCTCTGCCTCCTGGGTTCAGGCAATTCTCCTGCCTCAGCCTCCTGAGTAGCTGGGATTACAGGCACGCACCACCATGCGCAGCTAATGTTTTGTATTTTTGGTAGAGACGGGGTTTCACCATGTTGACCAGAATGGTCTCGATCTCCTGACCTTGTGATCCACCCGCCTCAGCCTCCCAAAGTGCTGGGATTACAGGCTTGAGCCACCACACCCGCTTGTTTATATTATTCTTTAAGTCATAAAACATTTTAAGCATCCACTATGAGGTGCCAGGTTTGGGGGATATGGAGATGAGAGAGTCTTTATCTTTAGAAGCTGAGTCTGGTGGAAAAAACAGACATGCAAAACAAATAACTGCAAAACTGTGTGCTATGCATTGATAAAGACAGCCACAGGATGCTGTGGAAGCCTAAAGGATGACAATCTAACTGCTCCTCTCTGGCCCCTTCCCAGTTACTCTTTACCTAGCAGAATTAGCCTTTTAAAACGTAAAAAGATTGTGATCTCTGGTAGCCTAAAAATGGCCACAAATTCCTTTTTTTAAAAAAAAAAAAAAAAAAAAAAAAAAAGACAGAGTCTTACTGTCTGTTGCCCAGGCTGGAGTGCAGTGGCATGGTCTTGGCTCACTGCAGCCTCCACCTCTCAAGTTCAAGTGATTTTCGTGCCTCAGCACTCCTGGGATTACAGGTGTGCACTACCATGCCCAGCTAATTTTTGTATTTTTTAAGTAGAGATGGAGTTTCGCCCTGTTGGCCAGGCTGGTCTCAAACTCCTGGCCTCAAGTGATCTGCCAGACTTGGTCTCCCAAAGTGCTGGGATTACAAGTGTGAGCCACTGTGCCCGGCCAGGCCACAAATTCTTTGATATTTTTCCTATTGAGAGGTGGTATCTATGTCCCCTACTCTGGAATAACACTGGGCTCTGTGACTATTTTGACCAACAGCAAAAGTGACATTCTGCCAGTTTCTCAACATAGAAAGGGACTGGCAGCTCCTACTTCCTGTCCCTTGGAATGCTCATGCTAGGAGAAGACAGCTGTCACGTACGAGTCTAACCAGCCCATGACTGCTCTGTTGTGTACAAGCTCAACCCAGTCACATGAAGAAGCCCCTCAGTGAGAGATACCAGACAGCCCCCAGCAGTTCCAATCATCCCAGCCCAGGAATGAGAATGTGAGTGAAGAAGGCTTCAGATGCCTCCAGCCCCAGCTGCCATCTAACTGCAATAGTATGATGGGGACCAAACATGGCAACCCCTAAACTATGTCACAGAACAGTCAACCCCAAAACTGGCTTACTATAGCACTTAGAATAAAACCTAAACTAATTTCCCTGCTCACTCAAGTCCTGTGTGATCTGGAAACTGCCTCCCTCTGTCACCTTCCTTCCCAAGCTTTCCTTTGCCCTTCAGGGTGCAGCCAAACTGGCATTCTTTCCTTTGAACATGCTAAGCTCCAGCCGGCCTTAGGGGACTTGAAGTGGTTGTTCCCTCTACTCTGAATTCCCTTTTCTCATTTTCACTCTGTCTTTTCATAAGCCAGGTAGTATAGCATGTGGTTCAGAACATGGGCTCTAGTGCCCCAAGTTTCCTTCTTTGTCAAATGAGGATAATGGTAACAACTGCATAAGGCTGTTCTGAGGATCAAGTAAGCTAACACATGTAAAGCACTTCAAACAATGTCTGACATAAAATCATCAAGCCATAAATGCAGCTGCTTTTATCATTCAGATTTTGGTTAGGTGTTATCAGCGATTTTCCTGATCACTCAATCTAAAGTATCAAGTCACCCCTATATTACCCTATTTTAATTTTTTATATAGCACATCTTACGATTGGATATTTTTCTTCTTTGCTTATTTTGTCTCTCTCAACTAAAATTGAAGGTCCAGGAGAGGACTTGTCAATCTTGTTCCCTTCAACTCAACCCCTAGAACAGTGCCTGGCACATAGCAGATCCCCAGTAAATACTGCTAGGTCGAATGAAAAGTGCACTGTAGGATATGTTCAGTTAGGAAAGACTTGTAGAAGTTTACTGGGGAGAAAAAGGTTATTTCAGAAGAAAAGAACACCATATATAAAGGGAGGGACTCTAGAGAGAGCACGACGTGTTCGGGGAGCTGCTCCTTGTTCTGCATGTTGGAGCAGAGTACATGTGAAGGGATGGGGATGAGAAACACAGTGTGGCCAGAGCAAGATGTAAAAGTATCTTCCAAGTCATATTAACGATTTGGGTTTTTTCTCCTTGTAGATGAGTTAGGAGTAACAGAGATTGCTGGGGACTATGTGTCCAGATATCATGAAACTTTACCACTGCCCTCAAGAGGTAGATAATCTAGTTAGAGAAGAAAAATGTAGTACCAATGAGAGTAGGAAAAGCATCAAGGAGTTGGGACTTAAGAGATTCTTTGTATTTAGGCAGTTACAGAAGATGGCAGAGCAAATACAGGGGTAGGGGCTGGAAGCTAGGATGGGCCAAGATTACAGAAAGGTATAGCTGAGGGAATTCTGTGTGAAGGCCTTGGCACTGAATGAAGGGTGTATACCAGGAAGTAGGGTAACCATGAAGAATAACAGTTTTCCTCATGATAAAATAATGGAAACTACTATGCTTTTTCCTTTCTAAAAGGGAATCATAAATATTTTTGGGGTATTGGGATGGAGATGAGGAAGCCTAAAATATTAAAAGATGTGTAACACCATATTCTTTCTAACATGGTAACTTGAGACTATCCAGCTGGTAGATATAAAAATTCCAGTCAAACCGATGCTTTAATAAAGATTATTCTTGTGTGCCGCAACTGCCTGAAAGTATTCAGGCTTAAAGTACTCTAAGGTACTTGGTATATATTTATGCTTATTACTTAATCTCTTCTGTATACACTCTCCCAAGGACACCAGTTATTCCCATTAAATTATGCTATAAAAGGGCAGATGTTGGCTGGGCATGGTGGCTCACACCTGTAATCCCAGCACGTTGGGAGGCCAAGGTGAGCAGATCACCTGAGGTCAGGAGTTCAAGAGCAGCCTGGGCATGGTTGTGGGTGCCTGTAATCCCAGCTACTTGGGAGGCTGAGGCAGGAGAATCGCTTGAACCCAGGAGGCGGGTGTTGCAGTGAGCTGAGATCGTGCCATTGCACTCTAGCCTGGGCAACAGAGCGAAACTCCAGCTCAAAAAAAAAAGCAGATGTTTTCCCCATCCACTGTCCATTTTTTTCTTTTTTCTTTCTTTTTCTTGAGACAGATTCTCACTCTGTCACCCAGGCTGAAGTGCAGTGAATGGCACAATCACAGCTCACTGCAGCTTTGACCTCCCATGCTCAGTCAATCTTTCCACCTCAGCCTCTGGAGTGGCTGGGACTATATATGCACATCATGATGCCCAGCTAATTTTTTGTAGAGACAGGGTATCACCATGGTGCTCAGGCTGGTCTCAAACTCTTGGGCTCAAGTGATTCACCTGCCATGGCCTCACAAAGTGCTGGGATTACAGGTGAGAGCCACCATGCCTGGCCTTGTCTAATTCTTTATCATAGCAACAAAAATTGAATAGGATCATATAAGGCATGTGGGCACATGAAAGAAATATTTTCTTATTGAGGAACAGTTTAAAAAGGAATTCATTTTTTACTACTAGGTGCTTTTGAAAGATGAATTTCTGGGTAATAATTTTAAGAAATGGAACAATATAGCAAATTAGCTAAGACAGATGCATACCTACTTTTTCTGCAGGGCTCTTAAAGCACACCATAACACTCTTTCTCCTCCTCCGCCAGCATTGCAGTATGGATGAAAAAATGCAATCACCATTTGATTTTTCCCAGTTTTGCTAGTTGACACGAATTTTTTCTTTCTCTGTAGCAGCAGTCTGATTCCCCAAAGGACAATGACCAAACATACATATAAAGTTCCACATACAATTAGCCCAGGGAAGAATAATGAATAAAAAAACCTGAAATAAGAGGACAAAGTTGAGAATCAATGTGATATGTACATTTAAAAATTTATAAAATAAAGTCTGCTTTTACATATCTACTTTTTATATTAATGACAAAGAATTGTCTTTAACAAGTCTGCTAACTCCAAAATACTCAAGTATGAAAATTCTAATGTTGCTAAATATCCAATATTAAAAGGATAAGTCCCCTTTAATTCCAATCCCCCTAGCATGTTACCAATTTAACACACTTTAACCAGCAGTAAAAATCAACACTGAACCCCTTTTATCCTCAGTTTATGTGCTATGGGATTAAAAACAAATCTAACTATTAATCTAAATAAAACATGATTAAGAATGTATTACATACTGTCACTCTGAGGGTTAGATGCCAAAGAAGTATGTCTTTTGAATGATCAATATTCCATTAGTTATAAGTCTGGTAAGTAGTAAATCTTCATTCTGTCACTTCACCTCAAGTAGAACAATTTCTGGGATAAAGGAATGGAACTTAGATTTCCTCACTTCTATTTCAGTTCTGTATTTGCTCTATTTACATGACCTAATACTACTACCTTCCCTTATGTGCCTCTGAATGAGCTGCCAAAAACCCACTAATGTTCTACTAATATTCAGTAATAAACTCATTCACAAAGTGACTATTAAAAGGTTCTCTATTACTGTCAGGTGAACTGAAGCTCTGCAAAAACAAGGGCCCAGGCTTGCTCACTATAATAGCCTCAACGCCAAGGATGACGCCTGGCACAGAGAAAGCATCCAATAAATATATGACTGATGCAAAAGTTTATTACCTCTTCAGATGTTGCTCGAAATATGTTAAAATAAAATGTCAAGGTGCTTTTCTTTTAGGGTTGCCAATATAGTTGGAACCTAACCTAATATTTTTCATACTCTGCCTGTCCTTTATAAAGGATTTGAGGACAGTTTATAAGATTTAAAAATTAATAAAAAGCCAAAAGTTAAATAGTGAATAGCAGACTGGCCTGTGGGCTGCTTAGTAGCCTAAGCAAATAGGAACTGATACATAGTGTATCAGTTCGTTTTCATACTGCTGATAAAGACATACCTGAAATGGGAAACAAAAAGAGGTTTAATTGGACTTACAGTTCCACATGGCTGGGGAGACCTCAGAATCATGGTGGGAGGTAAGGTACTTCTTACACAGAGGTGGCAAGAGAAAAATGAGGAAGAAGCCAAAGCATAAACCCCTGATAGACCCATCAGATCTTGTGAGACTTACTGATTATTACAAGAATAGCATGGGAAAGACAGGCCCCCATGATTAAATTACCTTCCCCTGGGTCCCTCTCACAACATATGGGAATTCTGGGAGATAGAGTTTAACCTGAGATTTGGGTGGGGACACAGCCAAACCATATAATTCTGCCCCTGGCCCCCTCCAAATGTCACATCCTCGCATTTCAAAACCAATTATGCCTTCCCAACAGTCCCCCAGAGTCTTAATTCATTTCAGCATTAACCTAAAAGTCCTACAGTCCAAAGTATCATCTGAGACAAAGCAAGTCCCTTCTGCCTATGAGCTTGTAAAATCAAAAATAAGTTACTTCCTAAATACAATGGGGATACAGGTATTGGGTAAGTACAGCCATTCCAAATGGGAGATATTGGCCAAAACAAAGTGGTTACAAGGCCCATGCAAGTCCGAAATCCAGTGGGGCAGTCATATTTTAAAGCTCCAAAATGATCTCCTTTTACTCTAGGTCTCACATCCACATCATGCTGAAGCAAGAGGTGGGTTCACATGGTCTTGGGCAGCTCTGCCCCTGTGGCTTTGCAGGGTACAGCCTCCCTCCTGGCTGCTTCCATGGGCTGGTGTTGAGTGTCTCCAGCTCTTCTAGGAACGTGGTGCAAGCTGTCGGTGGATCTACCATTCTGGGGTCTGGAGGATTATGGCTCTCTTCTCATAGCTCCACTAGGCAGTGCCCCAGTAGGGACTCTGTGTGGAGGCTCCAACCCCACATTTCCCTTCTGCACTGCTCTAGCAGAGGTTCTTTATGAGGGCCCTGCCCTTGCAGCAAACTTTTGCCTGGGCATCCAGGCATTTCAATACATCTGAAATCTAGGTGGGGGTTCCCAAACCTTAATTCTTGACTTCTGTGTACCCACAGGCTCAACACCATGTGAAGCTACCAAGGCTTGGGGCTTCCACCCTCTGAAGCCACAGCATGAATTCTACGTTGGCCCCTTTCAGCCATGGCTAGAGCAGCTGGGACACAGGGCCCCAAGTCCCTATGCTGCACACAGCATGGGGACCAGGGGAACTGCCCACAAAACCACTATTTCCTCCTGGGCCTCCAGGCCTGTAATGGGAGAGGCTGCTGTGAAGATCTCTGACATGGCCTGGAGACATTTTCCCCATGGTCTTGAAGATTAACATTAGGCTCCTTGCTACTTATGCAAATTTCTGTAGGCAGCTTGAATTTCTTCTCAAAAAATGGGTTTTTCTTTTCCACTGTATTGTCAGGCTGCAAATTTTCTGAACTTTAATATTCTACTTTCCTTTTAAAATGAAATCCTTTTAACAGCACCCAAGTCAACTCCCGAATGCTTTCCTGCTTAGAAATTTCTTGTGTCAGATACCCTAAATCATCTCTTCCCAAGTTCAAAGTTTCACAAATATCTAGGGCAGGGGCAAAATTCCACCAGTCCCTTTGCTAAAACATAAGAGTGATCTTTGCTCCAGTTTCCAACAAGGTCCTCATTTCCATCAGAGATCACCTTAGCCTGTATTTCATTGTCTATATCACTATCTGCATTTTGTTCAAAGTCATTCAACAAGTCTCTAGGAAGTTCTAAACTTTCCCACATTTTTCTGTCTTCTTCTGAGCCCTCCAAACTCTTCCAACCTCTGCCTGTTACCCAGTTCCAAAGTCGCTTCAACAGTTTTGGGTATCTCTTCAGCAGCACCCCATTCTACTGATACCAATTTACTATATTAGTGCATTTTCATGCTGCTGATAAAGACATACACGAAACTGGGAACAAAAATAGGTTTAATTGGACACAGGGCACCAAGTTTAATTGAACTTACAGTACCACATGGCTAGGAGGCCTCAGAATCATGGCAGGAGGTGTAAGGCACTTCTCACATGGTAGTGGCAAGGGAAAAATGAGGAAGAAGCAAAAACAGAAACCCCTGATAAACCCCATCAGATCTCGTGAGACTTATTGACTATCACGAGACATATTCTCTATCACTAGTAGGGAAAAGACTGGCCCCCATGAATCAATTAACTCCCACTAGGTCCCTCCCACAACACATGGGAATTCTGGGAGATATAATTCAACTTGAGATTTGGGTGGGGTCATGGCCAAACAGTATCACATAGTTTTCACAGTCCACATGAAAACATACAAATTCATCAGAAAAGTAAATTTTGCTTTTTTTAGATACAGGGTTTCACTCTGTAACCCAGTTCAGAGTGTGGTAGTGCAATCACAGCTCACTGCAGCCTCAAACTCCTGGGCTAAAGTGATTCTCCTGCCTCAGGCTCCTGAGATGCTGGGACTACACCCAACATTTTTTAATTAAAAAAAAATTTTTTTTTTTGGTAGAAATGGAGTTTTGCTATGTTGCCCAGGCTGGTCTCAAACTCCTGGCCTCAAGTAATCCTCCTGCCTTGGCCTTCCACAGCACTGAGATTACAGGCATGAACTGCTGCACCTGACCAGAAATAAATATTTTATTGATATAATATTTTGAAATAAAATTCTCATGGGATTTCCTATTGTGAAGAAATCCTCTTTGTTCCTATTGTGAACAAATCTCATGTGGGATTTCTGATTATGTACTTGAAGAGGTAATTGATTCGATTTGAAATCCCACATAAGCACTTTATTTCAAAGCTAAAGTAATTTAGTCTCAGAACACCTTTATACTCTTAAAAATTTTACCAAGGATCCAACAGAGCTTTTGTTTACATCAGAGTTTCTCATCGTTGACACTACTGACATTTTGGACCAAATAACTCTTTGTTGGGGAGGTTGTCCTATGCATTATAGGACATTTTGTAGCATCTTTGATCTTGACTCACTAAATGCCAGTAGCACCCTCCCAATCAAAATTATCAGTTGGTCATGGTGGCTCATGTCTGTAATCCCAACACTTTGGGAGGTTGAGGTGGGAGGACTGCTTGTGCCCAGGAGTTCGAGGCTGTAGTAAGCTATAATCATGCCACTGCACTCCAACCTGGGCAACAGAGCAAGGCTCTATTTCTAAAAAAATAAAAAATAAATTAAAAAAACCTCCAGATATTGCCAAATGCTAAATGTCTTGTGAAGGGCAAAAGTCACCCCTGGTTGAGCACCAGTGGTTTACACTGCTTATATCTACCAATATTTAGTATATTAGAAATGAAAACTAGCCGGGCACGGTGGCTCAAGCCTGTAATCCCAGCACTTTGGGAGGCCGAGGTGGGTGGATCACGAGGTCAAGAGACCGAGACCATCCTGGTCAACAGGGTGAAACCCCATCTCTACTAAAAATACAAAAAATTAGCTGGGCATGGTGGCACATGCCTGTAATCCCAGCTACTCAGGAGGCTGAGGCAGGAGAATTGCCTGAACCCAGGAGGCGGAGGTTGCGGTGAGCCGAGATCGCGCCATTGCACTCCAGCCTGGGTAACAAGAGCGAAACTCCGTCTCAAAAAAAAGAAAAGAAAAGAAAAAAGAAATGAAAACTAAAGAACTTTAAAATTTTTATGAATTCATTTAAAATTAAAATACTTTCATTACATATTAACATATTTTTATTTAAAAAAACTTCTATTTTCCAAGCGAAAAAAGATATTTAGCAAGAAGGGTGCCAATGTTTTATGTTTTTTGCAAATCTCTTTAATGTTTGGCTTGACGTGAAACCAGATAGTGGCTCCTGTTTTCTGTTTCTGCATTAAATCTGTAGTGATATGCTGTTTTTGTTGAAGTATATGACGAAAGTTCAGGCTCACTTAGATATATAGTAGGAAAACGGAGTATATGTTAATATATATTAATCTTAAATATATTTAACTTTTCAGGTAGTTACAGATATTCTTTGATGCTAGACCAGATTTGACAAGTTATGCAATTTCTGAATGTCAGTTGCAATACAGACTCTGAAACCCTAACAATGACCTTTTCATACTGTTAACTAAAATCCACTAGTGTAATTTGCACTTCAAATTATCTTTTTAAAAATTTTTATGATTGATGTAAAAAGTTACATAAAATATAGAACTTTTTACATCAATCGTAAAAATTAAAATAATAGATTGTCAAAAAGCAGAGGATTCAACATAAGCTTTATATTTAAGTGACGTGTTAACAACGGAAGCTTTGGTGAGTTTAAGAGGAGAAACTAAGATGAGAAGGAAGATCCAGTTTCTTCTTTACCGAAAAGAGACACGATAGATTGGAAAATGTCTCTGGCTCAATCGTAAAGAAAAATGAGGAATGAATATGAACAATTTATGGCAGACTAATTAGAGTATGAAAGAGAAAGAAAAAGCTGAAACAGGGAAGGGAACTCGACCCCTCAGTCAACAGTAAAGCAGAAGAATATGCGGAAAACTGAGTCAAGACCTAGTCTGTTCCATCCTTTACAGACCTCCAAGAAAAAGACTGCTCATTGGCCTGATAAATTACTTTAGATTCATGACAAGGAAGGCCATTTCCCCGCAAGATATAGCTACACTGGACAGGCAAGTACCACTATAGAACAGAAAACGTCTGTGAACCCACACGACCGGCTCCTCACCTCAACAAGTTGCACAGGCACCAGACCCCTTCGGCGGCCGCCATCTTCCGCCGACCCGCGAACACAGGAAGTGCTTCACTTTCCTTTTCTCTATTGGCTCCCGAGAAGGCGAGCCGTGCTCGCCCCGCCCGCACGGGTCAATTGTGCGTTACAATTGGTTACTGGTAGCTGCCTCCCACGGCCTTCCAGCCAATAGAATCTGCCGAGGCGTAGACTAACGTTTCGCGTGGTAAACACGGATCCCCGCCCCCTTGGGCAGGATAGCAGTGAGGGGGTTGGGCCGAGGAGGGCGTGGCCCGTGATTGACAGCCGTCGCTCCCGCCCTCGGCCCCCTCCCCCACTGGAAGCCCCCGCCGGGACACCCGCGCCCCCACCCCCGGTCGAGAGCCCGCCGCCCGTTGGAGGCCAGTGGCTGGCCTTTGCACACCACGGATCGATTTTCCAGGTGCGGAGTTCACTCTCGCCGAGGTTGCTTCCTTTGGGATCCACGGCACCCGGCAGCCAGGCTCAGAGTCCGAGGAGCGGCGCCACCCGGCGTCCTCCCTGCACGCGTTGGGCGAGCTCTGGGAGCTGCGTCTGCGGCCGGGTTCTGCGCGGCTCACCTGCCCTTCTGCTCCCGCACACGCCTGAGATCCCAGGACCGTGTCGGAGCGCACCGGCGCGAGGTGGCCGAGACCGCGGACCAGGACGGGCCTCCCTGTGGCGCCGGCACGGCGGAGGACACTGAGGCACCGGCGGGGCCGGCAGCTCCAGGGCGGGCACTGCCAGCCCCCCAGGGAGCAGGTGAGAGTCCGAGGCCCACTCTCCCCGCGTCCGCAGGTCGGGAGGACGGCGGCGCGCAACTTTGAAACACCCTTGTGGCTAGGGCAGCACATTGCCCAGTCCCAAATCAACGGGCGGTGCCCGGACCCCTCCTTGCATTAGAGCCGCGCCGACGCCCTCACGCCCAGCGCCTCCCGTCCTTTTACATCGCACCCTCCTCCGCCGACCTGGTGACCTTTGGCTCTGAGCCGGATCAGAGAAGAATTCCGTGTCCGCGCGGGACGATGCCTGAGCAGGAGAGACACATCACAGCCAGAGAAGGGGCCAGTCGGAAAGTGAGTTTCCTTCCCCCGCGCCCGCGCAGTGTGCACACTCCCATTCGGAGGACTTTCCTCCCCACGTTCGGCGCTTACTCGCTCCCTGGGGGCGCGCAGGGAAGGCCGGGCCAGAGCCCCAGCTCTAGGGGCGTCGTGGTTTGGGAGAAAAGGACCCTTTAGAAAGAGCTTGTCGAACAATGGAAAACCCCGCATCTCAAAATTCGTCTTTATGCTTTTAAGGGGTCTCACGCTGGAGAGGTAAAGTGAGCGTCGATTTGCTGTGCTAGAGCTCTCATGACTCTAAATGATGAAGTTAATTACCTGGATAAGTTATTCAGAGTCTGGTGCTTAGACCAGATATGGTATATTAAGGCCGTGGACTTTTATAACTGTTTTAAATTCATTTTAATTGTACGAGTAATACATTAAGACAGTCTTTTAAAAATGCAAACCGGTCTGAAATACTTTGCATGAAAAGCAGATCTATTTTCCAGTCTTTTTCTATTCATGTACCTATGTCTTTAGCAAATATTTATTGAGAACTTACGTTTCAGGCGCAGTATTGAAGAGTTGATACAGTAGTTAACAAGACATGTATCTGTATGTAATATGCACAAACTCAGAGAACTCTTGAGGTTTCGTTTGTGTGAGGTTTTAAAATTTTTGTTTTACCTAAATGAGATCACTGTATGTGTGTTCTCTTTTTTCAGTTTAACAGTATATGTTGGAGATTGTTTAACTGTCTTATTCAGTGCAACCTCTGCAGAGTTTGAATGCATCATAGTTTATTCATGGTTTCCTAATGGTGGACATTCTGTTTGCTACTTTTTTTTCTCTCTCTGTTACAATGAACATCTTTGTACATGATTTTTTTTTTTTTTTTTTTTTTTTTTGAGACGGAGTTTCGCTCTTGTTACCCAGGCTAGAGTGCAATGGCGCGATCTCGGCTCACCGCAACCTCCGCCTCCTGGGCTCAGGCAATTCTCCTGCCTCAGCCTCCTAAGTAGCTGGGATTACAGGCACGCGCCACCATGCCCAGCTAGTTTTTTGTATTTTTAGTAGAGACGGGGTTTCACCATGTTGACCAGGATGGTCTCGATCTCTCGACCTCGTGATCCACCCACCTCGGCCTCCCAAAGTGCTGGGATTACAGGCTTGAGCCACCGCGCCCGGCTGGTACATGATTTTTAATGCTGACACTTTTTCTTTAGGATAGACACTTAGGCCTGGATTGCTGGACAGAACAGTAGGATGTTTCTTTTCCACAGATTTCTGAAACTAATTCAGCTACATTGCTAGGTGCTCTTTAGTGAATTCATCTAGGCTCTGGTGATACAGAAATGAAAACTAATGGATTAATGGATGGACAGAGAGAGGCTGGTTAGTAGGTCATTTGTACGGTGTGATGACTATGCATTTGATAGGGGTATGAAGAAATGTTGGGAGGGGTGGCTTGTGTAGAGGAGACACTTTCAACTTCCTACAGTGTCCCCACCTAGAGAAAAAAATCCTTATCCTTTCAAATCAAGCCCAAGACTTGCCACCTCCTTGAAACGTTCTGTAACTGCTCCTGCCCATGTTGACATAACTGTCTTCTGGAATCCTCTGATAATAGTGTTGACCAACGTTATTAAGCTTACACGTGTGCTGGGCATTGCATTATGCACTTCCTATCCCTCTATGTGCACTCGCGCATTTAATTCTCACAAAAACCCTTTGATGTAGATATTATATCTTGTTATCAACATTTATTCAACAAATATTTTTTTGAGTACACCTATGTACCAGGTGTTTTAGACACTGGAGATTTAGCTAGCACCAAGACCTTGCCCTCGTGGATTTACATCCTAGTAGGAGATAGGAAAAAAGAGAGGGGCAGATAAACAAATATATAGTGTAGGGGTTAAGGGAAAACAACTTCTGTGCCCCGTGAAGATTCACTGAAAAATCAACTGACAAATGACAGATTAGTAGGAGAGAAGGCATACACATTTATTAAGGTGTGTGAGAATCTTATAAAATAAAATCTCAGAGAAAGGCAAGATCGTTACCACTTTTTTTTTTTTTTTTTTTTTTTTGAGACGGAGTTTCGCTCTTGTTACCCAGGCTGGAGTGCAATGGCGTGATCTCGGCTCACCGCAACCTCCGCCTCCTGGGTTCAGGCAATTCTCCTGCCTCAGCCTCCTGAGTAGCTGGGATTACAGGTACGCACCACCATGCCCAGCTAATTTTCAGTATTTTTAGTAGAGACGGGGTTTCACCATGTTGACCAGGGTGGTCTCGATCTCTTGACCTCGTGATCCACCCGCCTCGGCAAAGTGCTGGGATTACAGGCTTGAGCCACCGCGCCCAGCCCATTACCACTTTTATATCATCTTGAGGTTACAGAAAAAGTGGGGCCCCTAAGCTTGGGCAAAAACACGTTATGGTTGTAAATCAGGTTATAGGAGGGAGAGAAGAGGAGACTCGACTAGCAAAAGTGGTCATATGTAGATGAAACCTCACAGGTAGCAGCCCTCAGGGAGATTAAATGTTTCAGACCTTGAAGCTTCCAAACTCAGCTAATCTCTCCTAGATCCAGACAGGAAAGGGCCTTTTAAAAAAACCGGGCTGCATTAATATGGATTCTCTACAGATGCTCATCTCTCTCACAAAAGACAGTAGGACTACTTTTATCTGTAGGCCCTCTGAACGGCCATCTCGAAATATGTTAAACAAGTCTGTTTTGAGGTGAAATGTTTTGGTTTTCTTCAGTAGCTTTATTTCAGGTACTGGTAAGTACTGTGAAGGAAATAAAGCATTTTGGGGCCAGAAGTTCAAGACCAGCCTGGGCAGCATATCAAGATGTTGTTTCTACCACACACACACATGACACACACACGCAACCAAAATTAGCTGCACACGGTGGTGTGTGCCTGTTGTCCCAGCACTTGGGAGGCTGAGGCAGGAGGATGGCTTGAGCCCAGGAGTTTGAGGCTGCAGTGAGTTGTGATCCCACCTCTGTACTTCAGCCTGAGTGATGAAGCAAGGTCCTGTCTCAAAAAAGAAAAGAAAGCAGAGTAAGGGAATAAGATAAGGAATGACATGAGTGGAGAGGAAGATGCTGTTTTAAGTTTTAAGTAGGTGGTTAGGAAGTGATTTCTCTGGGAAGGCGGGATTTTAGTAGAGACCTGAATGATTCAGATTTCAGAGAAGTGTCCTAGACTGAGAAACCATAAAGTGTGAGTCCTAAGGCAGGCGTGTGGTAAGAAGAAATATATACTTGGTCTTGTCCCAAGTTCCTGACATAGCTTCTAAAACCCTTGTAATTTTTTGAGAAATTACGGTAAGAGTATCTTTTGTTGTTTATAACAAATCCCTTTCACCTCTACCTGAGTTTCTGCTAACCAGAGGGCTCTTGATGGGCCCCTAGATAGCTTCAGAATGAAGGCTGATTGCCTGAGGAACCAACCACAGGATTAGGGTATTCGAAGTTTCAGCCCCATACTGTAACCTCTGGAGATTGTGCCAGTCACCAATGGACAATGATCTAATCAGTCATGCCTGCAGCATAGGGCTTTCTTTAAATTTTTTTTTTTTTTTTTTTTAACCAGTGCAGTGGATCACAAATAGAGCTTTCTTAAAAACTGTAAATGATGGGTTTTGGAGAGCTTCCTGTTGGTGAACACATCAAGGTGCTGGGAAGGTAATGCCTGGAAAGGGAATTGAAGCTCCTGGAAACTTCCATTCCCATATCTTGTCCTCTCTTTTCCATGTGGTGGTTTCTTAGCTGTGTTTTTATAATAAACTGGTGATAGTCAAGAAAGTGCTTTTCTAAGTTCTGCCAGCTGCTCTAGCAAATTACCCAATCTGAGGAGGTGATTGTAGGAACCTCCTGACTTCACAGTCAGTTGGAAGTACAGGCAGCCCAGGCTTGGCGACTGGCATGTGAAGTGTGGGCATTCTTGTGGGCCTGAGCCCCTACCTGTGGGGTCTGTGCTAACTCCAGGTG